TTTTTTTTTTTTTTTTTTTTTAAAGCTACTGAATATATTGCAAATACTTTACAGTTACTGATGCGGTTCCGATTTAGTTGAACGAACATAAATCGGGCAAATAAGTTTTCAAAGATGACAGTAACAACAAATTTCAATTATTAAATAAAAGTTCCTAAAAAACAAAAACAGCTAACACTAATTTCAAAAGATGCTAGAGGTGCAGAAAAAAACCAGTTTATAATGAAAAAGTGGAACTGTATAGATTAACTGCAATTTATTCTACTTCTCAGTACTTCTCAGTAATATCTGTAGCTATACAGCAAACTTTTTTCTCTAAACTGCATCTCCCCACCTTATACAACAGTCCTAATTGCAGCTTTAAATAAATGCAAATAAACCTAGAAAAATCAAAGAAAATATTTTATCTTAAGGCCGGAGGCTTCACACCGATAAAAACCGTTTGATTTGCCGATGAGGTGTGCTGTCGTCAACGGGTTACTAAAGGAAAAACACGCAAAAAACTGTACCAAAATCGCCACCAAATAACAAAACTAGGAATTATCACAAAAGATCAACTTACCGCGTACAATAATCACTTCAGCAAACTATAGAAAGACAAAAAAATATAAACTGCATAGCGAACAGAGAACATGGCCACGAATATATAACAAAGAAAAGAGACAAAAAACTATTAAACATAACTACAGCATAATTCGACTAAACAACATATTATTTGCAAACGTTTTTTAAAAATGATACCAAATTGTCAACATTCAAAATGATGAAGCCGAAATTTCAAAAACTATTCAATAATTTGAAGAAAAATAGAAAAAAAAAGGAATAAATCCACTATAGCAGTAACCTCCATATATACACGCATATACAATTTCTACAACTGATTCAGTTATACCTAACTTGAATGACTGTATTTTTATCTACCATATATCTTTTAATTAGTAATATTTTGTAAAATGCTAACATGACACAAAATAGTCGTTGATTTTTCTTCATAAAGAGTGTAAATATAGGACTTGTTTTTTGACCAGGTATCTCCCGTTACTTTCAGAATCTTTGCTCAAAATGTATATTTTGAAAGCAATAAGAAACAATTAAATGAAATAGCCAAAAATCAGCAACAATGAGTTACTGTTGCCAAAAAATGTATTGTTGTTGTCGTTGCTATTAATTGAACAAAAAATCCTAACATAAACCAGTACCCTGTCTCACACTGCTTAAAGCTTCAATAATTCTTGTTCGATCTAACTGAAAAATTGCCAAGATAGGTGGATTACGGCATTTATTGACGTCCATGAATTCATCCGGATAACCGACATTACGAATGCATTCACGGGGAATGTCGGCCCGTTCAGCCAAAATACCACTGATAAGGACATCGTCAACATGAAAATACGGCCGAGGTACAACAAGAGCTTCGAGGAGTTTTGCTGGTACTGATGGCGAAAACATCCACGCGCCACCAGCGACATACCGTGGATAGGTGATTGAACTATACACGCTGTGGTTCATCTTCCTACACAACTTGGCGTTATACATGTTTCTGATGGTGCTACAGGGGAAACCATCATCTCAAGAAAGTTTGTCTTGTGAAGTATGAAGAGTAATGAAAAGCACCTTGTGCACCTCAACTACAAAAAAAAGTTACCATTTGCTTTCATCGTTTCTGAAAACATATGCTCTGGGCCAACAGTAACCATAGATTCGAGGTTGCCTGCTGTCTTTCACTCCCAAAAATGCAGTGATTGAAGTTGTAAATATAGCAACGTCCGGATCACCCTGGAAATTGAGAAGTAAAATGTTTTTTTGTAAGAAATTTGAAAACTTGTTAGCAAAAGAGAAACAGAGAAACTGCTAGCTTGAAGAATTACTTGAAAAAAGAATCTCGGCGCATTGCAAAATTCCGCAACCCATCTCAAAATTGCAACTGATTTTATCGAGAGATTTCTGTAAGTATCGATCATGTCGATAACAAGCAAATCATGGTATATCCTGGATTCCCTAAGAACTTTTCGGTGAACATCAAGAGGCCCGGATCTACCAAGCGCAAAAATCTGTAAAATAAGCGAGCAGTCTGAGATGGCGCAATAATGGACAACTGCCGAGTGCAACAACAGTAACTTACGACAGAATTACGCAAGTTTGAAGCCCATGTTGATCGAATGAATGCTCGTTCATCAGTTCTATTTGGATGACTTCTAATAATGTAGAAAACAGGAACGTGTGGACAATATACACTGTCATTGAAAGTTGGTTGAATTAAGAAATCAAACATCGTATAATTAAAAGGCTGTGGAACGTTTTCGTAGTAAACTTTCTCTTGAAACTGCTGTTCTAATTCTGAAACTATAGAGCAGATGATTAAGGTGACGATATTTGTCAAGCTAGAAAACCACCTAAAAAATTTTCTTTTCAAGCCATTAAGATATCTATTTAGACGCTTGTAGCTAATGATAAAAAACTATGATCATAGTTGATCCAAAACTTAAAAAAAGTTTAATTGGAAAAGACCCATACGCATAAGATAACGAACTATCAATAAAGTGAGAGAAAATTTGGCAGTTTAATTTAATTTGATCGAATATATGCCCATACTACCTGAACGCATCCTAAATGAATAATTCTGTTATCACACAAAATTCAGAATATTAGTTCCAAAAGACCTTATTTTTCTCAAGTTATTATTTACTGAATGTTGTTAAAAGACCCAATATCTATCCTTAGCCCACAAGTTCATTTCTAGATGCAGAATGAGAAACAAGTAATACATTAAAATAAAGACAGTAAAAGACTTGCTTTGCTGCGTTGATCACTGGATGCCTTTTCATTCACAGTAATGAAAGATCATTTGCATATTTGTAAATGAACCTTCCCCCAAAAAACCACGTATAAAGTTTTAAGATGCATTAATTTGTGGCAGCAGACTTTTTGATTCAGAATTCCAGCACATGGTCAACAACGACAGAAAAAAAAAAGACAATTATGATGGTTTGACATTGTTTTAAAAAATAAGCAAAAAAATTATTGCTTGGAGGAAAAACAGTAGTAATGTACCGACCAGAAAACAGGCAGCAATTATAATTGATCACTCTGTATAATAAGCCAAAGTAAACGACGTAAACTATCAACAATATGTAAGTGATACGGCACTTCATCTGAAATAAAAAAATATAAAGTTCAAGGTAGCAAATAAGCTGCTTTTCTTAGATTCCACAGAAGATTTTTAAACAACCAAACATTAAGCGAGGATCGATTTTGTTAAAAAATACGCCGCTGACTGTTCAAGTACAGTCTGTATACAGATCAGCCGTTTATAGTCAAATCAACGAAATTGGCAAAATAATTCCGGATAAAC